AATGAAGTGGTACTGAAAAAACTAGTACATTTTCAAACTTTGCACTGAAGAAAAACTCTGAGATATTCAGTGTTTACAGTCCTAGAGATGTCTATAACAGTTTTAGATAATGTTTGCATTAAATATTTGCATAGAAGCTGTTTATAAAATAAGCAGTTTCTCAGGTTGAAAAGCTGTATATATGTCGTGGGAAGGTATGGTCTGAATAATAAAGCTATATTTGGGAAATTTAATGAACACTCTATGGACAGAAGTGTGGCCATTTATCTGTTTTATATTTTTTATAATTTGACATTTCTCTACTCTGTTCCTTCTGAGATATTTGCATTTCTCATCTCTTCTTTCCTCCTTTTCCATTTACCAACCTCAACTGTAGTTCATGTTTTTGACAAGATCAGTTGTTCCCTATCCTTTGTTTTCAATCCATGTTCAAGTACATTTAGCCTCCAGACTTCCCAATTGACCCTGACCTCTAATTTTTTGATAAAGAAGTGTAGCTACCAGCTTCTAGTGTGGGTCTGCCCTTGGGAGGCTGATTTTAGACAAGGGAATTTAAAGTGAAGGAGATCAATCTCACTCTCAAATGTGTGTTTCAAGGTAGTCCCTATACTGCTGCCATACTTTTTTTTTTCCACTCAGTACCTTGATGGCTTCTCCTTGTAGCAGAACTGATGTGGCTTATAGGGCTTGTGAAGCTGATATGTGTGTTTTGTGATGAAAAACAGTAGGTTAGGGACTGTAGAGGAAGAATCACTAAAAAATACATACATATTATATAATACAAATGAGATTGGAAAGGATATTTTCCTGGATTGGCAAAAAATGCTGATGTTCTGTACAGTAGCATACTGACAGCTCATACAGTTCCTCAGCAGGTGTTTCCAAAGAACTGAGGCCGATACTTATAAATATTTATATGTTGTACATAATTTTGTTTCATTCTCAGACTTACTACACAGAGGGAACATGTACTCTGATTTGGCTCTCTTCCACAAGTCCTGAACTATGAATATGAAATCGGCACTTCATTTTGTCTCCTTTGACTCTCCATCTGTGGTGATCCATTAACAGTTTAGCAGGGCTGCCAGCCCTTAAGGCCCTGGGAGAAATTTCATCATACAGCTGAAACTGAGTGTAAACCATTATGCCAAGAAAACACTTCATGCATTTATTTTTTTGTTGTTAGTATCTTTGTCACTTCCTACCAAAATTTTAGATTTAGGAAAATGACCCATGCACCTTGGCTTTCAAGTCCTCTATTAATCCTCTTCTGAAAAGATTACATTCAGATCCAATACAACATAGGTATTGCTCCCATTTTCAAGGGAAGACTTAAAATCCTGTAAGTGAACAAAATTTAAATTCCATTACTACTGGGAGCTTAGCTGTACTGCCCAGGCAGTGGATGTGGCCTGTGGGTTGTAATACTGCCAAGTAAAAAGTGGACCAAGACTTCAGCTTTTTCAAGTGAAAGCTTATCTGCTGTCTTTGTCAAATAAAGGAGTGAAACTTTGAGAAAGAAGACAGTAAACAAAATAAAATATGTAGAGGGGAAAAAGAGGTGAAAGAAAAGAGATAGTTTTACGGCTGACTTTTCTGTTTCACTAACGGTGAAGAAAGAATTTGTTGGGAGAATTGTTTCTGTTCTTTGAACTTACTATTAAATAGGATGATTACTTGCCCCAAAAGCTCTTTAAGTACTCAGAGGAGTGTGCTTTCTAGGTTGACATTTATCTCCCAAATCCCATTCTAAAAAGTCAGCACTGAATCGGGAGGCAAGGCAGGAGAGTGCTTGTTTGAACAGAGGGCATTTGCTGCAGGCAGAAAAGGTGGCCAAGATTTTGAGGGCAAGGGCAGCCACAGCACAGTCCATGTTGTGCACTTAATGGGGATGCAAGACAGACTATCATTTGGTTTGTCTGCTACACCAACAAAAAGCAGCTTACCTGCCCTTGCTTTCATGCTGACTACAAAGAATTTTCAAAAAAACCCAATCACAGTTAGAGAGATACTTTGCCTTTGAAAACTCCTGCAAAATTCCTTGGCTTGATAGTCTTTCCTGGGATAGTCTTACCTGTCTCCATAACAACAGGGCAGTAGGTAATATCTACTGTTTTTCTAAAGCACGGATCATACATCTGAAAAAGATGTTAGGATAGTCTAGGTATAGATGTATATGATTAGGAATACTTGGTCATTTATAAATCACGATTTATAAAGAATAGTTTTTATAGTCTAACACATCCTTTTTCCTTATTTTTTAAAGTATTTTGTGACTATATTAATATGTTATTTATTGCGGAAAAAATTCTGTGTTTCTTTGTGAATGTTTTTGTAACCAGCAGTGTCAGTTCTACATCAGCCTGTCAACATTGTGATGTTGAGGTGACTAGGTCACACACATAACAATGATCTGGCTGTTTAAAGCCAAACATAATTGCATCTATATGCATCACATATGTCAGTACTACAATACCTAGATATGAGAATACGTAAGCCATGCTCCAGTTACAAAGCGTTTTATGAAGTGTGAGCACCTCTTGGGACAATTGCCCACAATTCCAGGTGGTGTCATACATAGATGAGTTCTAGGACAATCCCACAGTGAATTCTTGAGAAAAGTTTGTCTCAAGTTTAATTTTCATTGCAAAGGAACAAATTATCAAACCCAAAAGCAAGCAGCACCAGCTAACTAACCTGAATTTTAAGAACCTTCACACTTAGACTAGACTGCAGCCCATGGAAGTGAAAAGCTTATATGCTTCCTCAAACTGTGAGAAGATAAACCAGTTCCTTCACTTCTACCCTTGTCTTAGTGCCAACATCTTAAATTAGCTGCCAGAAGTAAATACAAAAATGATACTGTCCTCATAATGTACTCCTCTGATATTACTTTCTCCCGTACTTTTCGTTTTATTTTTGACCTCGATTGTACCACTGCAAAGCCCATGTTGTTTGCATTGATTTCCACAAGCTTTTTGTGAGCATAAAAGTAGCAAAATTGTTTGCTTCCTCAAGGCTTTGAGCTTCGAACCCTTTGGAAACAATACATCCCTTTTGGTTCAGCAAAGCACTGTATACATCTTCAGTAAATACATAGGTTGTGAATCTGTGTAATTCTGTAAATAATACATGGATAGTAAACTTTGCAAATCTTAAATTAACAAGCTAGAAGTAGATATTTCTAGACCATGTCTATGCTAGAAGAATTCCTACTAAAGAATCTTTAAGATAAATAAATCTCCTTTTTCTTCAGATACCTACAGTACAGACATAGTGTGATACTGAAGACACTGCCAGCTGAGACCACAAAGTATCCATTTAAAGGCTCAGTTTTTGTAGTCAGACTAAAAATGTAGAGTTTGAGGTACCCAACAGATAAAAGACAATCTGTGATTTTATGCATTCATCTGCACAATATTTCTGAGTTGAGCTGATGGTTAAGTGTTACAGATAATAAGTGTATTCATTCTTACCATTTGTATTAAAAGGTTTTCGCATTTCCAGAGATGGTCATCTAGGTCCATCTGACCTTGTGCTGAAACTGGATTGTTTTCTCCATTCACCAGAGCCACTGTTTTTGTAGGGACAGAATTTGCCTGGTAGTAGTTGGTTGAGTTTTCAAGGCTGTGTTTGAGTCTTCCCTGGCTTTTCCCTTTTCTTTAATTTCATTTCCTTCCATGATTTACTCATATACAAACTGAGAAATGTTTTTTCTCTCATTTACAAATAATAAGCCTCTTTCTTATCTTATCTTATCTTATCTCTTATCTTTAATAGCCTTTAAGTTTTCTCACTTTCTCCTTCTGTTCCCAAATACAAGTACATACTTTCTCAAGATTGCCTACAAGGTCTGCTTAGTGTTACAGGTGTGAGGTTCCCACTCTGTCTGGTTTGGTGACAGAGAGGAAGCTGTTCTGCATCAGGTCACTAACACCAGTATTCAGCACAAGCGCAGTAGATTCTCCTGATGACTGTGCTGCTAGCACAGGAACTGCCAGTCCTGTCTTTCATTTCTTGCCCCATCTGTTTTGCTTTCTTGATGTTGTAGCAAGAGCCATTGCAGAGCACTGTTTGTGTTTGAGTGCATGCAGTCAAGATGAAAAGTGTAGGAGCTGCATAATGTCCAAACCAAGCTTTACCTTTCTCAGGAACAAAGATCATTTACTCAACCATTTTACAAATGTTAGGTCTGCCATTTGCAGCAAATACCCATCCTAGAGATTCTTGCTTTTCTCATCTATTTTCTATAAAATTATTAGTTAGACCTCAGAGGCAGTTACTCTGACAATTTTCTTTGCAGTAAATAAGGGTAACGCTGTTCACCTGCTTCATGGCACATGAACATTAACATTCAGCCATGTCAGTATTGATGAAAATATGAATAATACTTATTTTTATATACACATAGAATGCCAAAGAAAAGAAAAGGGAGACTGGCTACACATCATGGTTGATATTTTAATATTCAGAAAAGGCAAAAGTACCAGATTGGTTATCACAATTGAATGAATTATACGGGAAAACTCAGTCATGGAATTAGAAGACTGCCAGAAAGGACAACAAAAGATATCTTTAAGATTTTATTTGGTTTGGGGGTTGTTTTTCATATTAATCTTCAAAATCCAATAGACTTAAAAGTCTTTAAAATATTTTAGCATTAAAACTTTTACAAACACCTTGTGTTGTTTCAAATACATAATCTCATACTTCACTGTTAGATGTTTTAAAGTGGATTCTGAGAACTTAAGTGCATTTTAAGAACTTTACAAAAAATGCACACATACAAAAAAATTCCCCTTTATTGGAAAGATATAAAGACAAAACAATTTTGTTGTCCTGTTTAAAAATTCTGGTTCCCCTTTGCAATTCAGGATGGCTGCCATCTGTTTGGCCTTTCCCATGAGGATTCTGCTACAATGATGAACTCTGCAGCATGTACAGAAATTGCTCTCAAGCCTATGTTAACAGTCCTGATAATATATTTTTTAGGTTTCCTCTACGCTCAGAACAGTACCAAACGCAGCATTAAAGAGCGATTTATGAAGCTCTTGCCCTGCTCGGCTGCCAAAACGACATCTCCTGTTACTCAAAGCAAGTTTTATTTTTCATTTGATGTTTTTTTAGGTTTGCATGCATCAAAAGTTATATTTTCATTAACTGCTAATTTGAGAGAGAAGATATCTGCTGAAATAATCGTATGCTCTATAGAGGTTTAAAATCAAGTGATGAACAGGTTTGCGGGCTGGTAGCAGACTTGACTGTGCAGAGCAGGATGGCAAGATACCAGTGCCAGAGTCTGTTGCATCGGAGCTGCTGGGTTGGCACTTGTGCTCTGCAAGCTGGCTGAGAAGTGACTCCCTGGTTAAATTCAATACCTGCTCTCAGTGTATTTGAAAAGTGGTATCTTTTTTGTGTACATGTGTGCATGTGTCTGTGTGTTTTTCTTATCCAATATATAGGGATGGTATCTGTGGTACTGGTCTGGAGGAAAGGTTTGGCCCTGCAGGTTTTGACTTATGTAATATAAAACTATTTAGGGAATGAGACCTAAAAATAATAATGGTATTGAAAAAAAAGTACGTGAATGTAGAGATAAAAGAAAAGCACAGTTTAATGTCTTGATGTGCTGTGAGGAAATAAAATCTCTCCAGGGTTGCTAACAGATAAAAATAGGGAAAGGGAGGGAGGGAGGTCCATCCATCCATCCATCCATCCATAGATATATATACCTAGATAGAGATTAATTATGGTAATAACACTAATGTCTTCCTATATAAATTGAGTACTATAACTGATTTTAAAAAATGTCTGTGGACCCAATTCAGTCTAGATTAATTTGGCTTAATTCTAGGCACTAATCTAAGCACCTAAAATTTGAAGCTGAGTTGTCCCTGTGCTGCTTATATACTCTTCTGATAAAGCATATAAATCAATCTAAAGTAAAAAAAAAAACAAACCACTTCCAAGACCAGTTCCTTGTGTCCAGTGATTAGGGGATGACATGAGACAACTTGGTTACAAACACAGGCCCCCTATTAAGTGTCTAGACTTCAGTGGTATGAATCTAGGCTTTTTGCTACCTCGCTTCACTGTCTTTCATATGCTCTTCCATAGAGAAGACTGTGATTCTTGCTTTCCTTTCTAAGTATTTGAGATCTCAAAGATGAAAATCATTAAAGATGTGGATGCACAGTGATGTTTTCATGGTGGCTTTAACTGGCGCGCTTTACTTGAAAACAGAGTAGCTTACAAAGGTCACTTACAGTTGTGTTACCTGATATTAGTTCATTATGTAGAAGTTGCATTCAGATACATAACCTGAGCAATATAGCCTTAGACTATAAAAGAAATCACAGAAAGGTTTGGATTGGAAGAGACCTTTAAAATCACCTAGTCCAACCCTCCTGCCATGGGCAAGGGCATCTTTCATTAGATCAGGTTGCTCAAAGCCCCATCCGACCTGACCTTGAACATTTCCAGTGATGAGTCATAGAACAGAAAAAGGAAATAGAATAGAAATATTACAAGGTTTGATCTGTTTTTCTGAAGTTGTTTGGAGAGCAACACATCCTTAGTGCTTCAACATTTTTATGCAAGCTTTTTTCTACACAGGTAGCACAAAAATGATTCAGTCTTACTAACCTTGACTATGCAAAACTTGTATTTTCTTGCTTTATTTTATAAACTAGAAGTCAAAATAAAACTTGCATTAAATATTCCATATTTGAGAATCAAATAGTAAAAAAAGATGTATTCAGCATTTTTCTCTTTATTCTTGTCAATAATGAAATGCTATATTAACTAAGACTATTATATTAAATGAAAATATTATATTAAATAAGAATATCATTGTAGACACACATTGTTATTGTCCCATTTTGACAAAATGTGCTATTTGATGTCTGCTAGTATGAAAGAAGTAACATTGTAATGCACATGAAGTAACATTGTAATGTAATGAAGCCAGAACTACCTACAATAACAACCATATTATGTGAACGCGTTAGAACTTTTAAGGTGGCTATTTTTAAAACAAGTACTTTGTTGAAATATGCGTAGTCTGAATTTGCACTTCTGTGCTTATCTTCTATCAATATGTGCAGAAAAAGGTTACTTGAATAAATAAAATCTTATTTCAGCATTCCCATTGAACAAAGCATGTCAATGAATGCTTTTTTGCTTTAGACTAGTAAGCCTAAACTTAAATCTGTCCTTACTTAGCTAAATGTTTAAATGCATATGCTAGAGATAGGACTAAACTCAAGAATGGTTTTGGTAAAGAAAAGTATGTGTGCATGCAGTTATTAAGTAGGTAGGGGAGCTATAATTTTGGGTTTGTGCAGGCAAACGCATGTGCACAATTTTTACAGGTATGAACTGAGTCCTAACTTTGGATGTACTTCTCCAACTGCCTTTATTTGTGGAGTACATCTGCTTTTTGCATTGCATTTACCATTTCCTTCTTTAATGAACATTGAAAGGTTCTAAGCATAGATCCTGTGACAAATATGGTAAAAACTTTCTTTAGTATTTAGCTAGAAGAAAGCTACACATTAATGAAATCAGTAAGAATATTTTATTAAATATGTTAATGAGTGAACACTAACTTGTTTCTGGTTTTCAATTGACATGTGTTAGCCTTTTATGAAAAAAAAAAACCCTTGACTTTCTTAGGCTGAAGAAACTAAACTGAAATAACTAATTTTTCATTAATACCATATAAATCATTAGTGCTTGGGAAATACATATATTTTCACATATTTTCCCTGCATATTTTAAAGTATAGATTTTTTTTTCCAGCCTGGATAACAGTAGCCGTAAGTGTGAAAAAAAAAGACAAAACCTGCAAGTGACTCATGCAGGCTATAGTATTTTCTAATCAGCATAGTTGGCACATTATAAGAAAGTTACAGAGATCTTATATTTTGATTATTTATTTCTATAAAAGACTACAGAAATAGAGTATGAATAGACCATCGAACTGAAGCATTTAATTAAGGGAAAAACTACATAGTCACCCCACTGCAATCTTCTACATTCTCACAGAGACATTAAAATGCAATAAAAAATCTTTATTGCTAAAGATATACCAAACATTGTGCTCAGTAGCACATTGTCTGGCCTTTATATCTAGCCTCACATTTATTATATGTATTCATTTAGCTTCTAGAAAAGCTTTTAGATGTCTCTAGGTAGCCAGATGTTTCACAAATGGATGGTTAGAGAGCTCATTTCCAGTGAAGTCCTTTTCTGTAAAAAGAATAGCCATTTAAACCCCATATAACTTTTGGCATATAAAACGCAAGTGACTTTTCAACAATTTTTATTCTCAGGTTGATTCTTTTGTCAATTTAGTTATAAGCACCTAGTGTTGACTTGCAGTTGACAAAAATCAGCTGCATATATGCAGCATGATATTGTTGTAGAGTCTTTAGTGACTATATAAAGAATATAAAAGATCAGTCCCTTAAAACATGATGGAAAGGCTTTAGAAACTGTGCAAAATGAACCCTGGATGTTCTTATGCAGAATTAAAATGAGACTCAAGAACTTTGCTATACCTTCCTTAGAGAAGGAAGACAGCTTCTTACTCTGGAACTACTTTATTCCAATTTCATCTATAAAGGCAGGATTTTCAGTATTTTCCCTTTGCATCTCAGTGTGTCCTTTCAAAGAGAGCTGAAATCGCCTTATAATTTTGTGAATTCAGATACTGCACTTTAAAACTATTATCAAACATCATAAGGTCAATATAAAGTTGTTTCAGTCAGTTGGAGTTTTTGTCAATAGCATTTGGATTGGAAGTTTCCACAAAGATGGTAGTGGTCTACAAGTCATATGAGAAAAATAGATGAAAATGTAAGAGAAACATATTATTGTTTTTCCATAAGCCAATACACAATATACATTCTGAGATAGGACTGTGGGTGACACAGAGTTCATCTGGGTGACACTGAAATCATCTTCCTGAGATGAGTGCTAACAGCAACATCTCTATGACAGGGGAAAAGACAAACCCCTACAGCTTTGTGAAGATTTATCCAAATAGTCTATATATTATAACTGTATCTATTTAAAGGTTGTTTATTTTTGTTTAGCTGAACTATATCTTCTGATGCCAGAATTCTTCAAAGCAGCTAAAAGGTATTATTACTGTATTGTAGCAAAACAAAAATATGTGAAGATGTAAGCATAATACTGTTTTAATATAGTACTCTATCTAATATTGTGCTCTTATGAAAATTTAACTGAATAAAACTTTATTTTAAGAATGCAGTCCCACGCTCCGTTGAAATAAAATATGTATCTTCAGCATTGTAGAAGTAACATTTAGACATGTTCTCTAGAGTTACATTTCTAAAGTTGGTATAACTCTTAAACCAGAATAAGGCAGTGATTTGATTAAATTAGTCTGGAGTACTATATAAGCTATGTTTAATGCTGGGAGTACTTAAAAATGGGTACACACATTCGTATTTTTGATCAGATATATGGCTGGCACCCTATATAAAAATACATATTTTAAGTGTCTTGTGCTATTTTATTGAACTTTAACATTTAAAACTCTACTGGAAAAACAGCATTGCTATCTCTCATTCTTTTAGGTCTGCACTCAGCTGTAATCCTTGAATGTGTATATCCACATAATAATGAGGTCACTGAAATAATCATGTGCCCGCTTAGGCTGCAGAATAATTGTGTTTGCCCTGAAGGTCTTGTTATAACACACGCAAAGTAAGGTCTGCTGTTGAATGTGCAACATCAGTCTCACACACCTTCCAAAGCACCGCTTCACAATAAAAGGAGAACACTGAAAATCCCAGTCTGATACAGTGAATTGACATCCATTAACTAACCAAGGGAAAATTTTCAGTATTCTGCAGTCACTAAAGTTTTATAAAATTGTTCTTTGTTCAAAGAGTCATAGAAACAGAAAAGCCATACTGAATGTCATGCACGCCCTTGCAGAATGTTGGCTTTCCAGTTTATTGCTCTTTGTACTGATGTGGTAATATCCAGACCGCTGGATCATCACTGCTGTTCCCTGTCCCTGTGCAGCTACGGAAGCAGATAGATACCCTTTCTTTATGACTTCAAAATGAACACATCATTTGTCTTAAAAGCTGCAAAAGGCATTCTTTAAGAGAATGCCATTTAACTTCCTTTTTTTCCTGCAAGGGTTAGATATTTCTACATCCTGTTTTTCTTGTTGAGCTTGCTTTCTCTCTCTCTTGTGTTCTGCAGACACTGTAGAAGATGAAATGGAAATGGCCACAGTACGACATAGACCTGAAGCTCTTGAACTGCTGGAAGCACAGAGTAAATTCACTAAGAAGGAACTTCAGATCTTATATAGAGGTTTCAAGAATGTAAGCAATTCCTTTTTGAATTTGTCATCCATTTACAGAGTAGGCCACTGCAATCTCAGCAGGATCAGGATGACTGACAGTGGAGCTCATGGGATTCAGTAGCTAAATACTGCATGTCTGGTCAGGTGAGGAAACAATCACTCAGCAACAATTGAGCTATTTAATGACTAAAAACCAGAAAGTATCCAGAAGATAATAATTATAACTTAGTATGGTAAGAGTTTCTTCAAGGACAGATTGAGAGTTGTATTGAGGTTGTTTGTCTAAAGATGAAATAATGGGAGAGAACGTAAGTGCTGAAGAATTTGGTGAGTCAGAGGAAAGATTTTGATTTTTGTCTTCACAATAGCTATCACAAGAAGTAGTTGGCTTAAATTGCTCTAGAGGAATTTTTGGTTAGGTGAACAGCAGTAGACTTCTTCAGTCCTTCCTAGCTCCACCAATCTATAGACTCTCTAGATCCCTGTACTAGGAGTCATTAGTTGTGATTCTTTTGCTGAGATATGTGCTGTATCAGCAGAACCAATGTTTTTAGTTGGCAGAGATCCCCTCTGAGGATCCTAGTACATGGGTGCAGTCTACCTCCTTTTCCAGTGTGTACTTGCTGTTCGGTAGTGCTGGGCTTGGTGTTGGCATGTAAGGTACCTGTGGTTAGTACAGCAGAGAAATAAGACACAAAAAGATTTTAGTAAATAGTGTTAAATTCTGTCTCTATATCAAAAGGAAGAGCTGCCTCTGATTTCATTAATATTATATTTTAATAAAACTGCTTTCTTAAAAAAATAGCCTTTTCCTCTCCTTTATTCTGCTATCTTTCATGTCATTGACACTTCTGTAGGCTATTACATGCAATTAACATTGGATAAAAATTTTTTTATATTAAAAAGAATAATAGCAATTGCTTGCAAATCATCAGTGTGTAATGTTAATCTATGTACTCAGCTCTGAGTACTGCAGCTGTGCAGGTGCTAAGTCTCCTGCTGAGCTGGAGGTAAAGATAAAGTTAATTGCATTTATCACCTTTTGATTGTTTTTCTTTCACCCTTACAAAAGGGCCGCCTTCTTGCCCTTGGCATTTACTATGCAAATGAAATCGTATAATAAGGTATAGTAATGCTAAAAGAACAATGAAGCTCAACTATGGGATCAGAGAGAATATTTTCAATAGCTTGTACAAGAAATCTTGCAGAATTCTGAGATATCATATATTTTGTAATGAAAGAAAGCCATGCAAAGGGATGTTTTAAAAGTACATTGCTATTGAAAACCTACAATGCAAGTAAAATACAGTCACTTAATGTGTCCTGTCTATATATCATCCTCAGTTGCAGAAGGTATATAATCTTGGCATGTTAGTGATTAACAGTGATTGCTCTTAAAAGCTTTTCATTTCCTCAGAGTACTAGAGAACATTCCCCTGCTAATGAGAGTATTCCCTAGGTATTGCAAATCATGAAATAATGTTCCTAATTTTCTAATGCAAAAAGGTACAACATATAGTGGATAAAATAAGCCTTCTGACTGTTTCTCTAATAATAATTATTTTTAGAGTCTCAGAAATGAAGGACCTTGATAATTCTCTGCATAAAATGGGTATGGAAAAAGAGAATAGATTATAAGGAAGTATTTTAATTGATTACCATATTACTTTTTTTTGCAAAGAGGAATTCCAGCTCTTCATAGGCTTTTGTGTTCTAAGATGTAAGTTCTCCTTACATCAAAGGAGTGTCGATGGTAATACATGGTAATACATCTTTATTCAGGTGTTTCATTTCCTTATCAGTACATGATAAATCAAGACACACATGTACAAATATATTTGACTATATCGAGCTAATGTGTATGAACTTTGGGGGTTTTGTGTTTAACATAATGGAAAAAATTATCAATGACTTTCAAAAATGTTGTAAAGCATGCCCTGGGGCTGATGAGTGTTATAAATCTGTTTAAAGAAATATTTTTTAATCCAAGCATTAGACTTCAGAAAAGAATGTTTTCAAAACTTCCAGTTGAGTTGGGGTTAGTTTTGTTTCTGATATTTATCAATTTCTACTGCAAAATTTTGTCCTTGATCCAGTTCCCTAATTACTTCAGAGAATGGGTAGGACAGGTCTGCCTCAACTCTTTGAGCAGCTTGCCTGTGCAGATTAGTTAATCTTTCCTATCACGCATCTAGCTTTTTTCATACAGTTTGAGCAGCTTGGGTGGGTACTGAGACAGGATGGCATTTCAGTGCCTCCCATAGCCTGCACTTGGATGGTCTCCCCCAACAATGCTCAATCATCCCCTTCTGTCTGCCACAGGCCACCTCCATTCCGCTCCCATTCTTTCTGATCCAGCTTAATGCTATCCTGCCAATATCTCCAACCCTGTGTGCTTCATATACCAGTATATACTGGAGACCACCCAGCTGGAAAACAGCTTTGCAGAAAAGGACCTGGGATCCTGACGGACACCAAGTTGAACATGAGCCAGCAATGTGCCCTGGCAGCAAAGGCAGTGAATGGTGTCCTGGGCTGTATTAGGCAAAGTATTGCCAGCAGGTGGAGGGAGGCGATTCTTCTCCTCTACTCAGCACTGGTGAGGCCACAGCTGAAGTACTGTGTCCAGTTCTGGGCTACCCAGTACAAGACAGACATGGACATATTGGAGAGACTCCAATGTAGGGTAACAAGATGACTAAGGGACTGGAGCATCTCTTCTATCAGAAGAGTGCACTGTGCACTGGCAGGAGCTCAAGGGAACTGTAATGCAGACTTGGGTACTAAAGGCAGTGTAGCTAGTATCAGCATATTTATCACAAGCACTCAGGTTAATTCAACAGAATTATGGCCTATATATGGATTTTTGCTGATCTATATTTGTATCACAGCAACTCTATCCTTATATAGAGCCTAAAAAATGCAAGATTTTCAACGGTTAAACTGTAATACTACCATAACATAAAGTATCTGTAATAGTGCAAACATTTTACAACCACATGTACTGGTAGGACAAGGTGTAATGGCTTTAAACTGACTGGAAGAGGGTAGATTTAGATTAGACATTAGGAAGAAATTCTTCACTATGAGGGTGGTGAGACACTGGAACAGGTTGCCCAGGGAAGCTGTGTATGCCCCATTCCTGGAAGTGTTCAAGGCCAGGTTGGATGGGGCTTTGAGCAACCTGGTCTGGTGGGAGGTGTCCCTGCCCATGGCAGGGGTGTAGGAACTAGAAGATCTTTAAGGCACCTTCCAACCTAAACCATTCTATGATTCTGTGATTCTATGACTGATAACTTTAATGAATACAAAACTTTAATTTTTAGAATGGAAAAGACTCCATACCTTCTATGGTATTAGTAGAGATAAGTTGAAAACTGACATTTCTTTCTGAAGAGCTTGGATGTCTCTATATGATAACACCTAATGGTCTCTATATGATAACACCTAATGATTTAGGTGTGTCAGAAATTAATGAATAAGAAAACTGTAATTTTTTTCCAGTATATTTTAAATAGCCTTTATAGCAAGCACATTTTTCCCCCTGTCTTTTTGCAAGCATAGTGGAACGAGATAGGTCCCAGACATGATAAAGAAAAATCCAACCGATGAAATAGATGCAAAGCAGTACTCAGTCCCTCTACTTCTGTATCCTGTCTTCAAGAGTGGCCAGATAAGGGAAAGCATGTAAGAATAAGCAAAACTTAGAATGGTAATTCACCTAACATACTGTTCTGTCTCCTAGCACTCTACTACGGAAATACTTTCTTTGCTGAAAGTTATATCTTTGTGTTTTACATACTTTAACCAAATTTTCTTCCATAAACTTTGATAATTACTTTTTCTACCTATCAGGGTACTTTGACATCCACAGCATCCTGTGGGAAGTTAGTTCCATACCTTATGTGAAAAATAATTTGTTTCTATGTAAAAGTTGCCTTTTATTTTAATAAAATATCTATAGTATTTCTGCTATGAGAAAATGAGTCACTATTGCCATTAATTCTCCAAGACATTCCAACATTTTCTACTTAGCCCCTTCTTTTCGTAACTGAGAGGTTTGTCTATGTAATCTGTGATTGTATGTAACCGACTCCAGCCTGCTGATTTCTCAGAATCCTGTCTAGTTCTAGGATGTCTGTTTTGAGATAGGGAAGACCAGAACTTCTCACTCCTTATGTCCAGTTATTTATTATTTATGACTTCAAATTACTTATGTACAGTTCTGCTTGACTTCAGAAGAGAAAGTAGCAAGTATTCCCATATTTCTGTAGTATAGGTGGTGTTTACAAAGTTTGAGTTATTATGTGGTATTTACTTAGACAAAAATAAAAACATAAATGTTTAAAGATATTTTAATTTATTTAACTTTCCAGTGTAAGCAAATTACATGCTAAATCCAGCAAAACGTCATTCAAGCAGAAGGTGCATAGGGTCTCAGATAGTATCTTGGTGTGTATGTACACACCTGAAAGCTATAGAGAGTCTCAGATCACACTGTAGTATAGCTGATGCTCTAGAAAGCAAGAAGTAGAAGATAACTGCAGGAAAGGTCCAAAGACTATTTGAATGCCTGTTGTGACAATGGCTGTTTTGGTAGTAGTCAAGGTCAACATTTAAAACACACTAAAAAAACCACAAGGAGGTAGGATAAGCACCTTCACATGACCTCACAACTCTTATAAGGAAAAGCATCAAGGGAGAACATATGTCTGTATTCAGTAATTTTGCCATTTTAAAGCTTCTATACTACCCTTGAAAAACGAGCTTAACAGAAGTCCTAAGCCCTCCCCAGGCTCAAAAGGTTGTCCCCAGCGCTCTGGTTTTGCAATGTTCCTGCACTCTTGTTGATGAATTGTTGCTCAGCTGCCATCACAATGGGACCTTCCCATTTTCTATTTGGCTTCCTGTCATCCCATTTCTTGTAAATTGAAATTGTGATTGCTGCAGTCATTAACCTTTCAAACTAGTGGCTCTGTGGCAGACCTAGTACAAGTGATACTTCACAATAAATTGCAC